GAATTTGCCAATCTTGGTGTTCTCTGGCAAATGCCAAACGTCCTGCACGGTGTTGGGCTGTAAGCACAACCCCCACCTGTGGACGTCGGGCCCTCATACCACCCTCATGGAGTCTGTTTCTGACCGTTTGAGCAAACACATGCACATTTGTGGCCTGCTGGAGGTCATTTTGCAGGGCTCTGGCAGTGCTCCTCCTGCTCCTCCTTGCACAAAGGCGGAGGTAGTAGTCCTGCTGCTGGGTTGTTGCCCTCCTACGGCCTCCTCCACGTCTCCTGATGTACTGGCCTGTCTCCTGGTAGCGCCTCCATGCTCTGGACACTACGCTGACAGACACAGCAAACCTTCTTGCCACAGCTCGCATTGATGTGCCATCCTGGATGAGCTGCACTACCTGAGCCACTTGTGTGGGTTGTAGACTCCGTCTCATGCTACCACTAGAGTGAACGCACCGCCAGCATTCAAAAGTGACCAAAACATCAGCCAGGAATCATAGGAACTGAGAAGTGGTCTGTGGTCACCACCTGCAAAACCAGTCCTTTATTGGGAGTGTCTTGCTAATTGCCTATAATTTCCACCTGTTGTCTATTCCATTTGCACAACAGCATGTGAAATGTATTGTCAATCAGTGTTGCTTCCTAAGTGGACAGTTTGATTTCACAGAAGTGTGATTGACTTGGAGTTACATTGTGTTGTTTAAGTGTTCCCTTTATTTTTTTGAGCAGTGTATGTCACTCATTGTAAGGTCAGCTTTATCAAATGCCCATCTCAGCAGACTGGAGGAAACATCATACCAGGGATGCATTGCAGTGATACCAACACCTGCAATTGTGAAGGTCAGGATGTGGGGCTGAATTGGTTATGATGCTGTTTTGTAAACCTTGTCATTATATCAGTAACTAAATGTGACATATAGCAAGGAATTGATCATTTGGGGAGAAATTAGATAGCATTCTCACTTTACTTTGACTCTGGTTATCGTTAGCCTAAATGTAGTAGCCAGTCATTTTGCTTGCTAGCTTTAGCTACTTGCTATTGACCAAGGCCATTGCTAGCTGGCAACAATATGCATATTTTTACTCCTAAAGGCAAGGTATATAAGTAGCCAGTGTTGGAGAGTAGTGAACAACATGTAGTTCAACTAGTAATTAAACTACATTTTGCAATAACTTGGTGGTAGTTTAAATAAAAACAAATCTTGGTAGTGTTTTCAGTAGTTAATTACTTTTTTTGCCATGTAATGGCTTGGGCCATTAAGGTTTTCTGTTTTTATTAATGACCTTCCACTGACCTTGAATAAAGCCTGTGTGTCTATGTACGCTGACGACTCAACAGTATACACGTCGGTTACGACAGTAAAATAAATAACTGACACCCTTAACATAGAGTTCCAGCCAGTTATAGAATGGGTAACTAGCAATAGGCTTGTGCTAAATATCAACCCCCCAAAAAAACTTCAACCATAGTTTTTGGGACAAATCACTCGCTCAATCCTACACCTAATCTATAATTGAATAATGTGGCGATTGAGCAAGTTCAAGTGGCTAAACTGCTGGGTGTAACCCTAGATAGCAAGCTGTCATGGTCAAAACATATAGACTCACTGGTTGCTAAAATGGAAAGGTGTATGTCCATGATAAGGCATTGCTCTGCTTTCTTGACATCTCAATCAACCAGACAGGTCCTACAGTTCTGTCTCACCTGGACTACTGCACAGTTGTGTGGTCATGTGCCGCAAATAAGGATATAGGCAAATTGCAGTTGGTCCAGAACAGAGCAGCACATATTGCACTTAGATGTACACGGAGAGCAAATGTCAATGACATGCATGTCAATCTCTCATGGCTTTCCTCAAAGAGGAGAGATTGACTGCATCACTATTGGTCTTTGTACGAGGTTTTAATGTGTTGAAGATACCAAACTGTCTGTACAAGCAGTTGGCACGCATTTCGGACACTCATCTGTATCACACGAGACAATCAACCAAAGGTCTCTTCACAGTCCCCAGGTCCAGAACAGAGGCTGGGAAACACACAGTATTAAATAGAGCCATGGCTAAATAGAACTCTGTGCCACCCCAGGTAACTCAAACTAGTAATAAAACCAGATGGGGAAAAAAACAGATAAAAGAACACCTTACGACATGACAGGGACTGTGACGAGACACAGACATTTTTATATATTTTGTATTATATTATATTGTGTATTTTATGTATTATTTTTGTTGTGTTTTGTTTCCTGTTTGGACCCCAGGAAGATTAGCCGTTACCTTGGCAGCAGTTAATTGGGGATCCGAACAAAATAGGCAATACACACACTTTTTGCAAAAAGAGAAGAACATACAGTATCACGGAAATAGGCAATAATTTCTTACTTTTTCGGCATCAGACCTGCCTAATTCTCACTTGAAACATCGTTTTTGTGTTTAATGGTCTACATTACACAGTCTGTTAACACCGGACCTCAAAGTGATCTGTCTTGCAATTTGTAGTCTATGACATTTCCGATGTAGATATAATCATTTTTCCCGAAGTAGCTTGGTGGCAGTGAACTACTTTTTCAAAGTAGCTTTAGTTAAATAAACTATATTTTTCTCATGCGTAGCTTAACTTCTTCTAGTGTGAAGTACGCTACTTGGTAGAGTGGTAAACTATGATTTCTGAGTAGCTTCCCCAACACTGTAAGTAGCTAACGTTAGTGTTGTCTTGTCTCCTCTGATGCACACAATGGGTAACGAATGCAGCTAGCCATATAGCATTGAAGCTAGCCTGTGACTGTTGACTAGGGCCAGATAGTTCGCTAGATATTGTGCTATGGATTAAACAAATGGATCGAGTATAAAGCAGACATTTGTGTTACGAGACTGTCCATATTTATCGCCATGCTCACGATTAGCCTACTGTTTGTTTACATCAACAGAGTCGCGCATGATGACGTTTAACATAACGTTTATGATTGGAGGGGCTGGAGCGTAGAGATTCTATTAAATTATAGTAATGGCGTATTTTTGAAGGCACTAACTCCGCCATGGTTCATTGAACAAAGCCTATGAGGAAAATTAATGGCGTTTTTGTAGGGTTTCTGGATAAAAGGCGAAAATAAGTTACGTGGTAAACAGGCTTAGGAGATCTTATACGTTTTGTTCTATGAGATCATCTTCATCAGCTAACGTCACATTTTGTGAATTTTGAAGAATTTATGTAATAATAAAAAACACATAAAGGCTTCATAATTCATAAAGGTCATGTTAACTGACTATCTCATAGAACAAAACGTATATGAATTCCTAAGCCTGTATTGACCTCAGACCTTATTTTCGGCGTTTATTCCAAAACCCTGTTCTTTCCCCATTCATTTTTCCCATAGGGATGGCTGAACGAACCAAAGGTAACTTATTTCCGGGTTTTAGGACTACAAGCTGGCGAGCAATATTCGTGAGTCACACAAAAACAAAGGTGCATGAAATGACCACAAATTACTGTATTTCTAACAGTGAACTGCCACAACCAATGATATACACTGAGTGTACAAAACATTAGGAACACTTTCCTAATATTGAGTTGCACCTCATTTTGCCCTCAGAACACCCTCAATTCGTCGGTGCATGGACTCTACAATGTTTCGAAACCGTTCCACAGGGATGCTGGCCAATGTTGACTCAAATGATTCGCACAGTTTTGTCAAGTTGGCTGGATACACACGGGAAACTGTTGAGCGTGAAAAACCCAGCTGTTCTTGACAAACTGGTGAGTCTAGCACCTACTACCATACCCATTCAAAGGCACTTAAATCTTTTGTCTTGTCCATTCACCCTCTGAATGGCACACATACACAAACCATGTCACAATTGTCTCAAGGCTTAAAAATCCTTCTTTAACCTGTTTCCTACCCTTCATCTACACAGATTGAAGTGGATTTAACAAGTGACACCAATAAGGGATCATAGCTTTCACCTGGATTCACCTGGTCAGTCAATCTCATGGAAAGAGCTGGTGTTCCTAATGTTTTGTACACTCAGTGTATATATAAACACCATTGGCCACAACCAAAATTACAGGGCAGGACCTCTCCAAATCAAATCATGTTTTCAACAAATCTATGGTTTGATTCCATTATCACATTTGTTGAGAAGCAAATACAGACACACAAGATGCATCAGATATTCAGGTATTGATTTGAATAATAAAAGCACAGTTGTTCTTGAGGGAAAAAAATAAGTGGGAAATATAGACAAATCTAAATACAGTAGTTCCCTAGTCTATTTTGAACATGCACACACAGAGAAATCAAATTTTGTAATTCATTGTATTTTATGTAGGCCTATGCACATGTAAGGAAATTGGGTTTTGAAGTAACCATTTACCATATCTGCTATCCTGACTGTACTTCTGTGGGCTTTCATAGATTCCGTTAAAGATTCCGTTATATCAAATGGGAACAATAGATCTCTTATTCTCCTGAATACTGTAATTGAACTCTTTGGAAAATGGTGGGATGGCAGGATGAACTTTTCCAATCTTGAACAGAACTCCACTGTTATTTGAATTTGATGGGTTTGATCCCCATTGAACTCAACAAAGACACAGCATTTGATTCAGTATGTTCGCTGAGAGAGCTAAAAAGAAAAAAACATTTGGTTGAGCACAGAAATGTAACTTGTAAAGCGACTTTTAGAGCCAGCTGGGAACAAACGGATTAAAATAATCATGTTATTTTAGGATAATATTATTATAGCTGCATCATATTACATAGGCTATTATAATGTTTTTGTTATTATGATTTTGATTTGGTTTTTTATTATTTTGTTATTAGCCTACATTGCTATAATTGGGCTTTTATTATGCTATTCCTATTACTATTATCAGCAGCAGCAGCAGCAATAGCAACATTATCAATGAGCGAGACGCAGGTGCTTTTCCAGCTTCCATAGACCCTTCTAATGAATAGGCCGTTCCGCATTAACCATTCATGGATTTCGTGCGCGCATAAGTAATAGTCTGCGTCCCTCATAAAATATACGCCGCTCTCTGCGCGCTCTCTCCAGGGACTTGAGGCTTTCATCCTTTCTTATACGCTCGAGACAAATCGATACGTATTCAGACCTTCATAATAAAACATATAGAGCTAGCCTAGTTTTTACAAAAAAATAACAATATAAAAACTGTGTAGCCTACATTGGATCCATTTTCACTTTTGGAATGACAACGTATTTTGGAGGATTTTAATCCTTTGTTTTATCTTCCCTCTCCTGCATTTGTAAATACTGCGCCTTGCAGAACGAATCTTTTGGATTAGTGCCTGGTCATTGAGATACAAGCTGCATTCATCACTGCAAATTCATCGAAGCAAATACAGACATTCAAGATTTGGCATTGAAACATTTTAATTTTGGATTTTTCCTTGAGGTTAATGTTCAGAAATATTCGACGAACTGGTTGTCACCAGAGAGCAACACGAGGATGGGATATGCAAACAAAACCCTGAAAGGATGCACGGTGTTGATTTGGATCGCCACCCTCCTGCTTATAGCAGAGACCAGAAGAGTGAAGCAACCTAGATGCCCCGCATCTTGTACGTGCACCAAAGATAATGCACTGTGTGAAAATATAAGATCGGTCCCTCACAGCTTTCCACCTGATGTCGTTTCGTTGTAAGTGCTTTGAATTAAATATTGTACATTATTTAAATCATATCATTGGCAGTGGCATTAAGATGGGTCTATCGTATGATCGATCTTTCTTTGTCTAGTTTTTGAAGATGTTGAATTGAATAAAATAACAGCACAAGTAAAGCAGCAAATTGAAATAATGTAGGCCTACAATGAAATTAAATGGTTGACATTTTATCAATAATATGAATCTATGTTCTGATATATTGCCTCATTTCATTTGTACCATGTTTCTATGCAGATCTTTTGTCAAATCGGGATTCACCGAAATATCTGGGGGAAGCTTCTTACACATGCCCGCTCTACAGCTTCTGTGAGTTTGACGTCGTTACTCAACGATTTTTCATAATACCTGCTAAAATGAGGGTCCATGTGCATCAACAAAGCACAGCCCTGTTCCCTCAGAGGAAGAGCAGGGTTATATCATAACACACAGCACATGAACATTACAAGTATGAGCAGGAGGATTAGGCTACACGAAAATGAAGTGGTTCACATTTTTTAGCAGAGGGGTTGCTTGGTAACTCAACCACAATGTGAAATATTTCTATTCAAGTGTGAGTAAAAACTACAATGTGACAGAGCAGTGGTTATAGAAATGATGGAATGAAAACTATTTTCTATTTTCTGAACAGCCTATTCACTGCCAACACGTTTGACTCAATTGATGAGGACGCTTTCCTGGGTCTACCTCATCTGGAGTACCTGTGAGTTGTACTCTCTCTAATGGATAAGATCCTCACAAATGCATCATCTGAGGATTTCATCCTCAAAATATGTTATTACCTCATTCACAGGTTTATCGAAAACAACAAAATTGCTTCAATATCACCATATGCATTCCGGAGCCTAAAAGCACTGATACACCTGTAAGTATAAGCATGTCCTTTTCTACTTTCTTACAATCTGAAATCGCGGAAAATGTGTTAGAACAATGGTCTTGTGTCATTTACATATTGTGTTAACCATACTTGAAAACAGAAATAAAGTATTGTAACCAATATCTTTGCAGGCTTTTTGCTTCTTCCTAGGGTACATAGCGTTATCAGCAACATGGTTGACTGAGGCCCCCATTGGTACATTCAAATATTAAGCAAATGGACCTTGGTGGTGGCCACTTTATCATTGTCAAAACTTCATAGGATTCAAGTCCTATTTCAGTGATATTGAACAAGGTTAACCTCCCTCACTTCTGCCCACCCTTAGTGGCTTTGGCATAAAGTAGATGTTTCTGGTTTTCAGGGATTCAGTATTTTCAACCTAACTTCCATTTCCCCTGAAAAACACAAGTAGGGACTCCGTTCAGGCCTCTTTCTACGCCTGCTACGTTAGGTTACTTCTGCCAGATCAAGTTGCCAAAGGACACTCTGTGGTGGGTCTAATATCACATGTAACCTTGGTGACCTCGCTGACTGGGAATATTTCCAGATTTCACATCAGAATATTTGCATCAGGCACTCAAAACCCCCCTGTAACCCAAATAATGTATATGGACAAACATGTTACAAAAACATTGGTTTTACTTATCATGTGACCATCATCAGTATGCCTTGCCAACACTCTGAAAGGCCTATACACTCCTTTCTATAGAAAAAAAAAGAGACAGACATGAGTGGACATATGTGTTTTCCAAATCATTATTCTAAGAATGTATATCCTTTCACTATTTTACGTAGATTGTATGAGTCTACTCTGAAAATGTAATTATAACTAAGAACGATATGACCTGGGTGGGCAAAACGAAATATAATACCTGCTCTGTAACTTTACTCATACCATCTGAAAAGGGCCCACCCAGTGACAGGGTGAAACTTTTTTTGGAAGTCAGCCACAAGATATTGTGTTGATTCGGGACATACTGTATTTTTCCTGTTGTGGTCTAAAACTCACATTGTTTTCTTGTTTTTTATCAGGAGCCTGGCCTATAATAACCTTGAGACATTACCCAAAGATGTTTTCAAGGGCATGGATGCTTTGGCTAAAGTGTGAGTGTCTTTCTTTCTTCTTCACATAACCAGCGGCCTTATGGGTAACGTCACCATCTAAAGTGTACTTATGTTAAACAAAAAAAGTGTGAGTATCTTTTCATTCAAAATATTCAGGTTTTGATTATGCATACTTTGCTAACCTGTTTTACCAGGGATCTGAGAGGGAACCACCTGGAATGTGACTGCAAACTAAAGTGGCTGGTGGAGTGGATGCGTACCACCAATGCGACTGTTGACCAGATCTTCTGCAGTGGGCCCCCGCTTTTCCAAGGGAAACTGATCAATGGCCTTGGGCCCGAGTCATTTGACTGCATAACAGCAGGTGATTGGTGCAATTATTATTTCACACCTTGGAATGTTAATCTCCTTAACTACTGCTGCCTCGTGCTATTCAGCACTGTGGCCATTTGAATTAAATGTAATAGACTCCAAGACTGTCAATTAATTACTAGTCAGGATAAAGTGAAAATGGTACCACAAGTGATTACACTGTAGAGTATGTACCTACAGTAGCCTACAGACTACTAAAACAGTCACCAAGGAAGTATTCCCGTAATGTTGCTTTCTCTGGTAGTGATGTCAATTTTATTTTATTTTGTATATTAATACATCTGTTTTGTATTGCAGAGTTTGCCTCTTATCAGCCCCTGACGTTTGAATCCATTTCAGTGGAGTCCTTTACCTTTGGCATGGACCAGTTTGTTGTGTTTGCCCAGCCCTTTACTGGGACATGCAGCTTCCTGGAATGGGATCACGTTGAAACGGTTTTCAGAACCTATGACAGCGTTCAAAGTGAGCAATACGTGTTTTACAGTATATCACCAGATGACAAAATGATATGCCAAGTGTGAACTGTCATTGTAGTACTGTACCTGTCTTACCAAAAATACTATATATTTTGTAACCTAAAACTTACTTTATGTTCCTATGTTCTAACATTTCGTTTTTGGTCCTTGTTTTACAGGTACATCCACTGTGGTATGCAAACCCATGGTGATTGATAATCAGCTGTTCATCATTGTAGCCCAGCTCTTTGGTGGTTCTCACATTTACAAGCGGGATATCTCTGCCAACAAATTCATAAAAATCCAGGACATTGACATCCTGAAAATCAGGAAACCTAATGACATTGAGACATTCCTCATAGATGGTGAGTCCTTCTTCGTGATCGCAGACAGCTCCAAGGCCGGTTCTACCACAGTGTACAAGTGGAACGGCAATGGGTTCTACTCTCACCAGTCCGTCCATGCCTGGTACCGTGACACAGACGTGGAGTACCTGGAGATCTCTGATAAACCCCATCTGATCCTAGCAAGCAGTTCCCAGAGGCCTGTCGTCTACCAGTGGAGTAAGAGCCTGAAGAAGTTTGACCGGCGCACTGATATCCCCGAAATGGAGGACGTGTTTGCGGTCAAGCACTTCAAGGTGAAGAGTGAACTTTTCATCTGCCTGACGCGTTTCATCGGGGACTCCAAGGTGATGAGGTGGGACGTCTCCATGTTCAAAGAGGTACAGACAATGCCTTCGCGGGGCTCCATGGTGTTCCAGCCCATCTCCATCGGCAACTGGCAGTACGCCATCCTCGGCAGCGACTACTCCCTGACGCGGGTCTACCAGTGGGACTTAAAGAGGGGCGAATTTGTTTACTTCCAGGATCTGAACATCCAGGCACCAAGGGCATTCTCTCTGGTGTCCATTGACAACAGAGAGTTTCTGCTGGCCTCCAGCTTTAAAGGGAAAACTCAAATATACGAGCACCTAATGATTGACCTGAGTAATAATTAATTAATTAATTAAAACAATTAAGGAGTGTGTAGTTGACAAGTGCAGTAGCACTGAACACTGGGGAGAGGATGACTATACTGCACCACTATTTGCATGATATAGCCCACTAATAAGAAAGAATTCCTGATGAATGCCTTGCTAGAAACATCTACTGTGTCCCTCTCTTTCACAGCACTCTTTCTTCTTTTTTTTTTCCTCGTAGACAAAGCAATTGTTGACGTACAGCAGCTAAGCCCTACACTACGGTAACTACAGTTATACTTGTGCTATAAGATAAACTTGAGGTAAAGTAGAATAAAGTAAACGAGAATACATTTGTTTGTGAAGTACTCATTAACATTTAACTGACAATTTGCCAATAAAATGTTTACGTTTTTACAATGATGAGTAAATTAATACAACATTTTGTATGTAGAGGGGACCACTCCAATCATGTTATATCTTTCATATGGAGCTATAGTTTTAGATTTTGAAATTACATTTTTAATTGAACCTAATGTAGGCCTAAAGCTGTTTAACTGCAATACTACAAAAAACACACATGTATTCTAATCTGTAGTAAGAGTGTTTTGTTTTTAATTTATTTTGCTGTATTTTATGTATAGTAGGCTAGTAATAAACCAATTTCATAAAAGCATAAATGTGTTGTCTTCATGGCCTTGATTAATAAACAACACAAATGCATTAGCCTACACATTATTTTAAAATCTTGATCCATGAAGTTCATCTTAAATTCCTATCATATTCATTCTATAACAAGAACACCTCTTTAAATAAGTACCCCAATAATGTCCACTATTTATTTCAGATTTTTGGAATGAGGTGAAGTTTGAACAATTTTTTTAACTAGACATGAACGTAGGGTAACGTTTTGGTTGGCCAACTGGTTTGCCTACGGGGAAGGAAATTTCGCTACCGGTATGTTGTTTGCTGGATAGCTGCCCCCCGTGGTTAAAGTAATCATTGCATGTTAATACAGTGGCCACCAAGGTTACATATTAAACCGGTGTGACACTCACTCTCAGGCAGAGAAGGGTGTAAGCTACCTCCAAGGCATGTTCACCTGTTGCATCTTACAATGGGTGATTTGACGAACGGTAATAGCATAGACGACCGAGGTCTATCGGTCGTTCCTCGTAGAGAGGAGGACATCAAAGTTGTATTTCACAAAGTTGGGGATGACGACGACGATGAACACACTACTGAGAGGGTTCATTTACAAAGTAACAGTCATGATGAGAGGGGTAATGATGAGGATGCAAGGACTAGAACAATGGAAAGCAGCGCGAAGCAAATATTATGTCCTCTTCTGTATTGTAGAACTGGCGGCGGCGAGGATCCCATCTCAACGGACGCAGAAGACACAGTTACCAAAGGTAGCCTTCAAGCTAAAGTTGGAGAGAATGTATATAATTTCGCTATCTTAAGAGATCTACTAACGCAACCACTTGTTTGTTGTGTATTAATATAGTCCATTGTATGACTGGATCTGCTTCCATCTAGTTGAAGTGATGAACTTTGAGATAGATGGAGAAATTAGAAATGAGAAGCATTGGCGTAGCCAATGACGAACTCCGTAGCAGCACGTTATGTAACTGACGTAATCGCTGTTCTCAAATTACCGAATTACTTTACTGATAATCATACATTTTGCCGCACAAGCCCTTTCATTTTAAACTAGCTAATAATAGCCTAAATATTGCAACATTGTGGCCGCTTCACCTCTCACTTTCATCAGTCTGATTATTAATTATTGAATGTAATCCGGTTTAACATTTTCATCATCCTCAAAGGGGATGACGAGGCATTTTCCCACCAGGAACAATTCTATTATGTGGCTGTAACTTCCTGAATAGTGTTCCCAATTTCTGCACCAGAAAACACCTAGTCATTTATTAGTTTTTCTTTTCAACATAGGCTCCTCATTTGTAATTTATTTAGGTATGATGACAAAATTTGAAAGAATGAACACCTAGCCCACAGGGTGTAAATCAAACTCACAAAGAAGCCTCTAACAATGGTGTTGTCTGTTCTCAGATTAGTCATATTCTTCTGCATGTCTAGTCAGTACAATTTCCCATTATTCTTCCTGTTCAATTTGAGTCACCCGCCAATTAGAGGACATGGGTTCATGGCACTCTTTCTATGTAAAGCAAAAAAACATGAGCAATCAGTGGGTACAGTGTGTGACAGGCCAACTTTCAGGTTTATCTAGTAATATTCCTGCAGTTTTTACAGCTTGTCAAAAGGTTTTCTGTAGCTGTAAGCCTTAGCAGGGATTTTCTTCAACAAAGGAGCTTTTGATATCACATTTGAATACTGTACCTCTTCCTCCTCCCATTTCACAATTTCAGACAAACAAATATTACATTCTGTTGTAGTAGTAGGTTAATGTTCAGTTCCAGACAAGCTATTTTAACCAGTTCATGTGTCCTCTGTCCTCAGAGAAAAAGCATTGTCCAGGACTGGGCCTGTTCTATGGCCTGCTGGCTACAGTGTTCTTCTCCGTTATAGCTCTTCTGGTGAAGACAATAGATGGAGTCCATGCTGTAGAAATCAGTGCCATTCGCTGCTTCTTCCAGATGCTGTTTGTGATGCCTATGCTTATCTATCACAAGTACGTTATTACAAAACAGTATTTAACTGTATTGAACAACTTGACCCCGTGACCCCTGATATTTACATACAAATATTTCACAATTTCCTGTTTTTTAGGACTGGCTTCCTTGGACCAAGAGACAAGCGGGTCTATTTGGTGATGAGAGGATTCTTGGGTTCCAACGCCATGATCCTATTGTACTATGCAGTGCAGCAGATGCCCCTGGCTGATGCAACAGTCATCATGTTCAGCAACCCAGTGTTCACCGCCTTGCTAGCCTGGATCTTCCTCAAAGAGAAATGCACAATCTGGGACTGTGTCTTCACTGTCTTCACCCTGGCTGGTGTCATAATGATAGCCAGGCCCCCCTTCATATTTGGTGCTCGTATAGAGGGAATAGAGGGAGACTACACCAATCATCTCAAGGGGACTATTGCAGCCTTCGGTGGAGCGATAGGAGCAGCCTGCACTTTCGTTATACTAAGGAAAATGGGCAAAAGTGTCCACTACTATCTGTCCGTGTGGTACTATGCAGTCATTGGTTTCATTGAGTGTGTCATCACTTTGTTTATACTTGGTGAATGGACCATTCCATTCTGTGGGAGAGACAGGTGGATCCTTATGCTGATAGCAATCCTGGGCATCGCTGGCCAAACATTCCTCACCAAAGCACTCCAGATTGAGAAGGCCGGCCCTGTGGCCTTGATGAGGACCGTCGACGTGGTCCTAGCCTTTATTTTCCAGTTCATTTTTTTCAACCGAAAGCCCACCATGTGGAGTCTCGGTGGGGCGTGTTGTGTGGTCGTCAGCACTTGTGGTGTGGCGCTAAGGAAGTGGTACAGCAACACACACCCAAGAAAGAGCTGAGAACCACACACCACACAAATAAATTAATTTTTTGCTAGGAATAAATTAAAGGTTATCAATTAATATGATGTTAATGTTCAGCAGACGAGTGAAAACCAAAAAAAAACACAGAAAACCAAAGAAGCAATATTACATCCAAATGTTACTGTAAGGGTTTGAACACAAAACTGGACTTGTTTCAGTGTTCACATCTACATACAGTACTTAGAAAATAGTGTTCCTCAAGGGTGCTTTGGTAAGGGTGATATGTCGAACCATAATGACTCAAAGAACCCTTAAATGTCTCTTTGCATTTCAGAAAAGGGTTCTTTTATCTTTTAGTGATAATTAAAATGTAGGGGCGGCGGCTCATTCAAATATTTTGGGGCGTGGTGTGCGCACAGATCTTTTTGTGCAACCGTGAGTGAAAGTGTCATTCCAGTTGATCTAATCGGTTGTGTTGTGTCATTAAGTATGACTATGGCCAGTAACGGTGTCTTGTTAAAAAGACTCGCATAAAGTCTTGTGTCAATTGAGAACTGTTGACAAAATCTCAATTCTCTCCTCAGGGACCCCCAGCCGTTCCAGAGCTAGCACACCTGATTCTAAGTGTTAATTAACAGTAATAACACCGTCATTTTAACAATATAATATAGCTAACCCCATTATAAAGGGTTCTATATAGCACGATAAAGGGTTCCGCTATGGTTACAAGCCAAATAACACTTATTTGGTAGTGGCACTATATAGGTCATCAGCAAAGCTTATATTAGCATCTTATTGTATTTTAAATGGGCTGATATCCTTTATTTTATTACACTGCTGGTCAGAATCGGTTTGTTGTGGAAATTTCAAAAGTGTGATGGTGATTTTGTAAAAAAAAATGTCTACAAAGATTTGCTTTGTGCAATGTGTCACTGAGATTGCTGGATAGCAATAATATTCTGTTGACCCAACGAGTAAGCAGCATAATCAGATGAATTCATGCATATCTTACAGGTTATCCTACCTAGTTAAATAGTAGAATATGATGGAAACTTGATATTTACAGTACAAATAGCTTTATGACAGTATACCACAGAAAACAACTAGTTGCCTTCCATTTAAAATGTTTACTAGTCATTTAGAACTAAGCACTTGAGTTTGCACATTTTTGTTACATGCAGTATCAGTGATGATGCTTTGTATAAGTTGTATACTCCTAGTTCTCTCAGGGTTTCTATGCTGTTTTATAGGATTTTTTCTGTATCAATAGCACTTTCTCAGACTGATTGAAAGTCTTTGACTTGAATTTGTTCTTGTTTATCAAATATCTTAATGTAGTGAAAATGTTTCTTAACTTTTCTGTGTTCAATCATTTTTCAGGTAGGTTTACATAAATTGGTTATAACGACAGTATGAACAATTTAAATGAACCATTTCATTCTTAAATTTAATTCAGAGCCTGTTTATATGACATCATACATTGTTTATAGAACGTGAAGTTACTTATTTCACAATGTGCTGTGTTCAATTAAGGTGGACACAGTATATCTGAACCTTTGTGTAGTTCATGTTTGATTTTATTTAACTGATACTGATTTGATTGATGAAACTGAAAAGTTGGATACACTCGCACAAAGAAGAGCATAAAATATTTTAGTTACTACCTTCATGCCTTACTAAATCCTTTCTCATCTATGTAATTATTATATTACAGTATTTATGACTATTTCAGATTTATTATTAGAAATAAGGATTATTCTAAATGTTGTATATTTGTCATTTTTTCTTATAAAATACATTGCATACACATTTCACCTATTTGTCTTGATCTCTCAAACTAAGGAAGTTTGATGTTTTCCATTTGATCATACATTCGCATGTCTGTAATTCCTGCTGCGCTCTACCATAAGATCTGACAGAATGATTTTACTCCACTGTTGCACACAGTTGTTCCAACCTGGCTAGACAAAGTACTCCGTTATGAACAAGACTACACAATAGCTTTTCTCAAAACACTGAGTCAGAGCCTTTTAACCTCTAAGGGGAACCATTATCATGTAACCCTGTGTTTAGGTTTTAGACTTTGCCAAGACCTTTCTCTCAACCCTTCATTGAATAACAAAGATTGTGTACTGTTGTATTGTATCATTCTGTACATGGGACAGATGTCTTCATAACATTATATATATACACACTGTATACACAGGGATTATACGAAACATTAAGAACACCTGCCCTAATAGTGCAACTCAATAGTAGGAAGGTGTAACTAATGTTTGGTATACTCAGTGTATATTACTTTCTGTGTAACCCATGTATAACATTTGTAGCCAGCAGAGGGCAGAAGGAACTTCAAAATCATCCAATGTGTTCAGACAGAGGATGGAACAATGATGTACAGTATATATACACAAAAGTATGTGGACACCCCTTCAAATTAGTGGATTCGGCTATTTCAGCCACACCCGTTGCTGACAGGTGTATAAAATCAAGCACTCAGCCATACAATCTCCATAGACAAACATTGGCAGTAGAATGGCCTTACTGAAGAGCTCAATGACTTTCAACGTGGCACCGTCATAGAATGCCACCTTTCCAACAAGTCAGATCGTGAAATTTCTGCTCTGCTAGAGCTACCCTGGTCAACTGTAAGTGCTGTTATTGTGAAGTGGAAACATCAAGGAGCAACAACGGCACACAAGCTCACAGAACGGGACCATTAACATCGAAGGGGCTGTATTGGAGCAGGTTGAGAATTTCAAGTTCATTGGTGTCCACATCACCAACAAACTATCATGGTCCAAACACACCAAGACAGTCATGAAGAGGGCACGACAACATCTGGGTCCCCAGATGCTCAAAAGGTTTTACAGCTGCACCATCGAGCACATCCTGACCGGTTGCATCACCGCCTGGTATGGCAACTGCTCGGCGTCTGACCGTAAGAGGATAGTGCGTACGGCCCAATACATCACTGGGACCAAGCTTCCTGCCATCCAGGACCTCTATACCAGGCGGTGTAAGAGGAAGGCTGAAAAAATGGTCAAAGACTCCCGTCACCCTATTCATAGACTGTTCTCTCTGCTACTGCACAGCAAGTGGTACCGGAGCGCCAAGTCTAGGTCCAAAAGGCTCCTTAACAGCTTCTACCCAAATATTTTCTTAACTCTATTTCTTGAACTGCATTGTTGGTTAAGGGCTTGTAAGTAAGCATTTCACGGTAAGGTCTACTCCTGTTGTATTTGGCGCATTTGACAAATACAATTTGATTTGATGCGCGTAGCACGTAAAAATCATCTGTTATCAGTTGCAACACTCACTACCGTGTTCCAAACTGCCTCTGGAAGCAACGTCAGCACAATAACTGTTATTCGGGAGCTTCATGAAATGCAAATCAATTTATAACATTTTTTACATGCGTTTTTCTGGATTTTTTTGTTGTTATTCTGTCTCTCACTGTTCAAATAAACCTACCATTCAAATTATAGACTGATCATTTCTTTGTCAGTGGGCAAACGTACAAAATCAGCAGGGGATCAAATACTTTTTCCCTTCACTGTATTAGATAACGTCATGGTCAACATAAACCCGCTACAATCATGCAGTACAGTTTACTGTCAGCAAGCAGTTTAGCAGTTACACTGGCGGGCCCCGGTGGTAATAAATTAATAAAATCAAAAGCTTACCTTGACTTGGAAGAGTTCCAGTGTTTGATATCCATAGCCAGCTAGCTAACATAGCACCCCTCTCTGTTTGAGCCGGGTGTTTGAGTAGGCTAAACCAGCTAGCTGTATTTGCTAGTTAAGTAAGTGAAAGTGAAAAGAAATACAACAAAATATAGCTAGCTCTCTCTCACTCTCTGTCTTTCTTCTTCATTTTTGAATAAATTAATTTGTTCAAAACTGTTGTTTTTCTCTTCGAGTCAACTACTCACCACATGTTATGCACTGACGGTGCTAGCTAGCTGTAGCTTATTTTTTCAGTACTAGATTCATTCTCTGATACTTTGATTGGGTGGACAACATGTCAGTTCATGCTGCAAGAGCTCTGATAGGATGGAGGACGTCCTCCGGAAGTTGTCATAATTACTGTGTAAGTCTATGGAAGGGGTTGAGAACCATGAGCCTCCTAGGTTTTGTATTGAAGTCAATGTACCCAGAGGAGGACGGAAGCTAGCTGTCCTCCAGCTACACCATGGCGCTACCCTACAGAGTGCTGTTGTGGCTACTGTAGACCTTCATTGTAAAACAGTGTGTTTAAGTCAATGGTTTAGTGACATGAATATATTTACTTTAATGTTTCACTACATTACATTTACGTCATTTAGCAGACGCTCTTATCCAGAGCGACTTACAGTTAGTGAGTGCATACATTATTGTTAACTTTTTTTTTTTCATACCCCCCCCCCCCGTGGGAATCGAACCCACAACCCTGGCGTTGCAAACGCCATGCTCTACCAACTGAGCTACATCCCCTGCCGGCCATTCCCTCCCCTACCCTGGACGACGCTGGGCCAATTGTGCGCCGCCCCATGGTGCGCCGCCCCTATTTTTATGAGATTCACTGAGGATGGTTCTCCCCTTCCTCCTCTGAAAATGTGCAGATAACACTTAAATGTGAAGACCGGTACAAAACAAGGTGCACAATGGCAAAGAGATCTCTGTGGTGAAGTATCTGTCATGATATTTCCTGTTCCTCCTGTGGCAAAATAAACAGTGGACATGAATTACGAAAGCCCCATAAAGTCTTGCATACATAGCTAAAGTCAACTGACTGAAGATCCTTTACTTTGTGTAATGATATTTTAATGTGTATCTGACTCATGCTGCAGTTTTACAGTGAATTATAAAGAATTAAGTTGAATTGGTGAACTAAAGTGTAGAGATTTATGGTGCAATTAAATCAGTAGAATTTCATGTTCCAACATTCCTCCTGGATGGCATACAAGTTCCCATTAGAGAATAAAGGGAAAATAATCAATAAAAAAATAATCACATTTTCCAGGTTTAATAGAAATGCAGGTGACAACTAGCAGC